GAGAAAAAGTAGTACGTGCTCAGTACAGATACAATTTTTTTCAAAATTTCTCTCTAACAAAAGTGTATGGGAAAATTGATTTTTTTTTTTTTGTCAGACTTGGCCTCTCTCATGAGACTTTTCTTCAGACCACTAGGTGGCGATATTTGAGCTCCTACATATGTTGAAAGAATGGTCCAGTGCCTAGCAACTGAATGACTTCTGTGGAAATGGCAGAGTGAGGAAAAAACAGAGAATTCTAGCAATACCTGAGAGAGCACAGTCCTCTCCGAAAGGCAGAGGCATGCAGAGTGGATGCAGTTCAGATCTGTTCTGAATTGGCCTTCTGCTAACTCACTTAAGGGAATCACTTTGGCATCTGGACATACACTTCTCCATCTAGTAAATTCTCTTGAAACGTATTCTCTTTTTGCCCTTTCTCTACAACCAGGACTATGATTGTGGGTTCTGTGAAAGCCGTGGTATACAGATGTTCAACACCTGAGAAAGAGGGTCATGGTCTTTGCATAGTGTTTGGTCTAAGGGTGAAGTCAAACAAATCTTACAACCACCGGCCCCTTTTCCTGACTCTGCTATGCTGAGGGAACACACTGTGACTAAACTTCTCTGACTTTGGCCTAGGTCTCTAAAACTGACTCAGCCACATTTACCACCTCTGAAGAGAGTTTGCAAGGGTTAATGAGATAATGCTGCCAAAGGCCAGATCTCTCAATGAAAGCTGCTAATTATAAGCAAAGCATCAGTGGGCGGGTATATAACTAAAGCCTGACCTTGCATCTGTGTCAAAATGCTCCTGATAAAGGTGACATCATTGCCATATATAAGAGAGCATTGGGGGCAGGGGATAAAAATGATTAAGGGATGAAACTCAGGCCTTGGAAGGAAGAGGAGGAGTCCAGGGGATGACCTAAGAGAAGGACAAAGGTAATGAGATACTATTTTTATTGCCAAGAGAGAATCCTGCCTGGGGGTGGAAGTGCAGCTTCTCCCAGGTCTCTCAGAGCAGCCAGTGGAAGACAATAATTCACATGGCACAGGATGGCGGACAAGACATGAAAAGTTTACAAGGGAGCGTTGGAAAGCAGACATCTCACACATTTTTCATTTTAAATCCAACAGGCTGTTACTGGCCTGGTGTTAGGAGGTCGGTATCTTTTAAACATAGAAGGCACTCACTGTCTGCAGTTGGGGGTTCTGTGTTGTATTTTCTTTTTGGCTAAGATAATCTTTTCCTCGGATTCTTACACATTCCACATAACATTTATCGCCAGATTCTTCTTTAGCTTTTTCTACTTTAATCTGGTATATAGAAAGGGCCCTTGTTCTATTTCTGCAAGGAAAGACTTCGTTATCAGTTAAAACACAGGTAGCTCCTCATGAAAGGCTCACGGAGCCCTTAAAGTATCTGTCATCTGAGAAGCTGCTGAAGAAAAGTTCTCTTCCCAAGGGGCTTGAACAAACATTGCTTTCATCCATTTTTTAAAATTTCTTTTTAAACCAATTTTTAGTTTTACCAAGTACCAAGTAATAAGTCCTGGCTTAGGCCCCAAGTATATACTGTAGTTCATACAGAACAGTTGCTTTAGTTTATCTGCTTTGTATTCTTCCCCTGGCTAATAAGTCACAGAGGAGTCTAAGAGTAATTTTTACGAGGTATCTCT